TAATGAAACAGGGATTTGAGGAGACCTCAGGTACTTGGGAATGGGGCTTGATGGGATCTCTGGATATGCTGGGCTGGAAGCTAGAGGAAGTAAGTGCTCTCTGTCCTGGAGAATATAGTGTGAATTCTGCCCCTGCAGGGACCTGGCTGAGTGGGTGCCATTAACTCCATATTAAAGAATCTGACTCATAACCTGGTTAGAGCTAGGTCTGTACTTCATGTTAATCATTAATACTATGTATGGCCTAAAGGGCAACCAACCAGAAAATAAGATAATGAGATCCCACTATATTACTAACTAGTCTGGCAACTTCGAGAAAGTTCTCTAAATTCTAGGGCTTTAGTTTCTTCACCTATCAAATTAGAGGACTGTCATTCTGGCTTTAAAGGTCTATGGTTCACAGAGATGGTATTGGAATACATCAGATTTTGTGTAAGCAGTTTCATGAGCACCTTGAAAAGAAAGGAAGAGGATGATGGTATGAACATTCATTGTCGGACCAGGTATTGCTCTAGAGGCACTTACACATCTACTGGACCAGGTGTTGCTCTAGACGCACTCACACATCTCCTGGACCAGGTCCTGCTCTAGAGGCACTCACACATCTCCTGGACCAGGTCCTGCTCTAGAGGCACTCACACATCTCCTGGACCAGGTCCTGCTCTAGAGGCACTCACACATCTCCTGGACCAGGTCCTGCTCTAGAGGCACTCACACATCTCCTGGACCAGGTCCTGCTCTAGAGGCACTCACACATCTCCTGGACCAGGTCCTGCTCTAGAGGCACTCACACATCTCCTGGACCAGGTCCTGCTCTAGAGGCACTCACACATCTCCTGGACCAGGTCCTGCTCTAGAGGCACTCACACATCTCCTGGACCAGGTCCTGCTCTAGAGGCACTCACACATCTCCTGGACCAGGTCCTGCTCTAGAGGCACTCACACACTTACTGGACCAGGTACTGCTCTAGAGGCACTCAAACACTTACTAGAGCAGGTACTGCTCTAGAGGCACTTACACATTTCCTAGAGGAGGTATTGTTCTAGAGGCACTTACACATTTACTAGAAGATGGAAGACATGATGACAAAAGGAAGTTAGTGGCATTTTAGTAAATGACATGAGTCTAACTATAGCCTCTACTTAAGAACTTTCTTACCTTACATATATAAAAATTAAAAGAGAACTAGAAGGCCTATTTAGAATAAGGAAGTGACATTTACAAAACAAAGACTATATGTTACAATTTTCCTATCTGCCTTCAGTAGGGGAATGGCTATTTAATAATTTTATCTTCAAACACTTCTGTGGTTTACATGTTTTCGAAGAGTAATATTCTGATGGTGAATAATCCAGTTATCAAATTATTTGGTAAATCAAAATAATTATTTGCTATTCTCCTGACTTAATTCTCAGATGTCTACGAACTAAGGAACTGAATGGAAAAATGGCTTAATTCCATCAAGCATTCATACTGTTAAAAGAAAAACCCTATGTGGGATCCATAACATGGCTAGTTACTTAGTGGGGAGAAAGCAAATCAAAAGAGCAAACATGATTTGACTGCCCCCTAAGAAAATTATCAGTTGAATTCAGCCAATCACTTTACTATCAACTAAATCAATAAGTCATTTTTTCAAACACTTTTTTGTTGGATAGAAAGAACCAATAAGAGAATAATCAAAGTGTGATTGGGTTTTGATCTTCAAATAATAAGCCATCATAAGTTGCTGATGCTGGCTGGGTGCAGTGGCTTACATCTGTAATCCCAGCACTTTGGGATGCTGAGGCGGGCGGATCACTTGAGGTTCGGTGTTTGAGACCAGCCTCACCAACATGGTGAAACCCCATTTCTACTAAAAATACAAAAATTAACCAGGCATGGTGGCATGCATCTGTAATCTCAGCTACTTGGGGAGGATGAGGCACACAATCCCTTGAACCAGGGAAACAGAGGTTGCAGTGAGCCGAGGTAGCACCACTGCACTCTAGCCTGGCCTGAGCAACAGAGTGAGACCCTGTCTCAAAAAAAAAAAATGTTGCTGATACTTTTAGTGCCTACTGAATAGCCATTCTCCCTCATGCCTTGGGAGCCCAGTCCAGATTCTAGAAAAAAAACAAAAAATTTTCTAAGCCACTAAGCTTTGGTATAGTTTGGACGCAGAAATTGATGACTGGGAAACTGACTAAAATTCAGTTTTTGTCTTGGCATTGCCTGTCCTGTCAATTCCCTGCTCTCCTGCCCCACTCCCCTTACCCCCAGTGTAATTCAAGGCTAAATCTTGATTAGTATCAATTCTGATAATCTTGCCTCCCTTGACAGTGGTAGTTTAGAGATAGTCGTGTGCCCTGGTTGTGGCCAATGAGAAAAGATCTGAGGGATCTTTGGACAATTTCTCCACTTTTAAAACATTTAAGAGAACAGTCAACTTTTTTGGCTAGCCTTTGCCGTGTCTTAAGTGATGCCTGGAACTATGCCAGCCATTTTGAGACCTTGAGGAGAACTAGCTAAGGACAAGGTCAACAAGCTGAGGATGGCAGAGTTTTGGAAAAATGAGAAGAACTTGACAACACTAAACATTTTTGACCCACTGAACTAACCAAATTAGCATCTGCTACCTTGGGACTTCCGATACTACATTTTCTTCATTTTTGAAGCTACTACAGACAGGTTTTCTATTACTGAAATGAAAGTTTTCCTAAGAAAAACAAGCGGTGTATGAAGCTTTACTTTATCACATCTGAGAGAACAGCTCAGCCTTAAGTTGGGAGGAAGATTTATACAGTTCTGCTGATAATACTTATTACTCATTTTAATTGTTTGCATGGTAATATTTAAGCCATCTAGCTGTTTGGAAATGTGCATTATTTTAATAATACTGGGTATCAGTAAATAAAACATGCTAAATATTGCTGAAAATAAATACTAAGTAACTCAATTTGTGTCATTATATGTGAGGAATGGGAAAAGCTTCTTGGAAGAGATGGTATTCAATGTGGACTTGGAAGGATCTGTGGTATTTCAACAGTTGGATATGGAGTTCAAGGGCATTCTAGAGAATGTCATGGGAGAGGAAATGCAATGGCATGATTCGGGGGTGTACTGTAGTAGACAAACAAGGCTGGAGCTGTGTTAGGTACAGACTGTGGAGGGTCTTAAATGTCTTGCTACGGGAGGGTGGGCTGCCTTTCCATAGCAATGGGGAACAGAGACATTTTAGTTACCATGTATTGATTCCACATAAATTAATAAAACATATAGTATGTATATACTTTTTACAGTTTTTATGGTGTATTTTCATGAAAAGTGTGTATGATTTTAGTGAAACCATAAAAATCCATTTTTATTACAATTCAGGTTCTGTTTTAAAACAGCTGCCAAGCTGCCAAGGAAACTAGTAGTAAGTGACTGGTTGTGCCTGATTTTCCCAAAGAACAAGATGCAAATTCTTCAAATAGACTATTTGAATGCCAGTAAACATTTCAAAGGCAGTCAAGCTCAGACGCCTGGGTGTGTGGATGCAGGATAGTGAGAAGGGGGTTCTGATGTTCCTGGAGGGAAGAGATGTCTTGCCTGTGTAGGCAAAGATTTGTTTTGAAAGAAAAGGGAGCTGGGGGAAAAAAGCAGCTTAGAGCCTCGAGGCTGAATGAGTTGGAGGTGAGTGCCCAGGAAGAGAAGCTGTAAGTGAGAGGTTCCATTGAAGTACCTAGAACCAGACACTCTTTAATGGGGACAAGAGCAAATTTCTGGAGTTTTCCTTGTTTACATCTTTACATCTTGTTTTGTTTCAAAAAGGAGTTAACGTTCTGTCCCTGAATAAACACGAGGCAGCAAGACTTCATCGCAGATAGAGATAAGACTAAAACATGATTCTCCTAAACTTTAACCCTTGAGTTAGCTCACTTAAGCTTGTAAATCTCTGCAAAGATTTTGTTCCCTGGATCCTCCATGGTTACCAGGTGGTGGATACACATTATACAGCAGAAGAAACTGGAATCGCTTCTATGGGTCTTTTTTTAGAGCAAGGAAGCATTTCCCAGAAAACCCCAGCAGATGTCCCCTCCCTTGGCCTTGGACAGGAGTGGTCACATGATATTTTCTAAGCCAATGCCTGGGCAAGGTAAGGGGTTAGTCATAACAGATTTAGACTACTTAAGATTTACTTCTGGGCCAAGGAGAGGGAGGGAGTGGGGTCGGGAGCTGGCGGAAGATGGGTGGGGGCGGCCGGGGAAGAAACGAGTGTGGGACAGTTATGTGAGCTGTCAGAAGGACTCTGAAAATACTAGAGTGATTTAGAGCGCAGAGGGGCCTGTGTTGTCATCTGTGCTCCCTCCCATTATTCAGGGCCCCTTGAAAGGCTTTGCTAAACCTGGGTTTCCAGGAGAGCAATAAGCTCGCTGTGATAAACATAATGTAGGTAAGCAGTTGGCATAGTGCCTTGCACAGAATAGTCCTCAGATGGTTACTACTGTCGTTATTGATATTATTAATAAAAGTGACCTAGCTCCTCCCCTCGAGAAGTTCACAAGGTGCCCAAATGTGACAGGGGGAACTATGAGAAGGCAAGAGGTGACTTCCTGCCAAAGAGCGAGCTAGGGCAAGGAGAAGGCGCCCTGAAGCCTTCGTTCCGTTTCGCACGCGGCTGGCCTCGGTGGCCGCAAGGGGAGCTCAGCAAGGCCGGGGGGTTCGGGAGGCGGGTCCTGCACAGCGAAGCAGCCTCCTCCGTTTGGCCGCAGGCCTGGAGAGTATGGCGCCTGAGTGGCGAGAGCGGGGCGCCGGGATGCTGGCGTCCAATTTAATCACCAGGAAGCCCACCGAGCACTCTATTTCCCTGACATTTTCACAGCATTAACTGGATGACAGAGACTAGAGGCAGGCACTGAGCCGGTACCGACTAGCAACGCCGGCCGCCCACCCCTTCCCCCTCCCGCACCGGGCCGGCTCCCCCTTCCGGCCGGGCTCGGCGGCGCGGGCGCGGGGCCGTGGGCGGAGCCGCGGCCCGGCCGTTCATTATGTTGGACAGGGCGTGTCTGCGCCTCGGGCTGCCGCGGCTCCCGGGGCCTCCGCCTGCAGCCGGCGGCGGAACGGGGGCAGGCGGCTGAGACGGGCGAGCTATTTGCATTCCGCGGCAGTCATTTTTATATGCGGAGGTAATGAAGTTGTCAGCGGCGTCCCGAGTGTGGCAGAGCCTGATATTCAAATCGCCCTGCCCGCTCCACCTGCTCCCGCCTGCGGGTCCCGGGAGCCCCGGGCTGCGCGCGCCCGCCCCGCATCCCCGCTTAGCCCCGCGACCGCGCGCGCCTCCCTGTCCTCTCCCGCGCCTTTGTCTCCGTCTCCCTCTATCTTTCCCTAGTCTTTTGTGTCCTGCCAGACTCAGCCCCAGAAACCAGCAACCCTTGTGCGTCCCCGCACGCCGGGACCCCGCACGCCACGAGGTGCGCTGGCGGCAAGTTTGGGGAAGTTCGTGGCTGCAGGAAGGCCGCCGCCCTCGCACTGCATGCCACGCCCGGCCCCTCTTTCCTTCGGTAGGGGCTCCTAGCCTTCCCTTCATCTCCATCCCCAGGAAGGATGACCTAGTACTGGCATTACCGTTTGGGCCTTGAGGAGTTTTCAGCCCTCTTTCCGAATGCATATCTGTGGTCATTTTTATGATTTCCGAAACCCAGCACACAGCTATTCTGTCAGGTTGCTGAGAAAAGGCTGTTCCGCAGTTGCATACTGGGTGAGGAAATGAGGCGGAAAGGTGGATGCAACTGCCTGGAGTGGGTAAAGGAAGGCAGTGAACACCCACGCACCTGGGTTGGTTTTCCTGGGCCTCTGCAGCTGTGCTACTCACTGGGGCAGCCATGGCCTCAAGAGGCTGCTGAGCGCCTGCAGTGTGGCCAGGCCAGACCAAGATGTTTTCCAAGTGGGAAATACACACTCCATTGTAAAGAAGACTATGAAAAAAAGAATGTGAACTGGCTCATTCATCATTTAAATACAATGATCACATATTGAAATGATAATATTTTCGGTATATAGGATGAAATAAAGTATCATGAATTAAATCTGGTTCTTTTTTACTTTAAAAAAAAGTGGCTACAAAGAACGTTTAAATTTAGTAAGATGTCTCACATTAAGACCCAACCCAACCCATCGTCTAATCTTGCCCTCTCACCTTGCTCTACAGGTGGTTTGGAACAGGGCAGGGATGGAGGGAAGGTCCTTGTATCTTAGACATCAAAATCCCAGGAAAATAATTAGGAGGTGTTTGGGATTCTGCTGAAAACTCTGACAACAGTAAGTAGCAGATGTCTGTTTCTTTTCCCTTTGTTCATTTAAAAAACTCACACTCCCCCATAGCCATGCCACAATTCCATGAACCAACCATTCATGTGTGTAGGTGGGCCTCTAGGAGTGTTTTGTGTCTTTTAGGAGTTATTTGTGGCACACTAAACTTGCTGACATGCCATTTAGGAAAGTGAATATTGTGTATGCACTGTAACAACTATTTCATAAGTATTTTTGGTGTACACTGTTCCTCCGCACTCAAGCTTTGGAGTAAGGGCTCCCGGAGTATGCATTGACACGATGCACTGCAAATGATCCGGGCATGGGGGAGTCCCTGAGTGTGCATTGATTCCATACACAGCCACAGCTCCTACAGGGCTCTTATGGTGCAGCTTGCCAATGATCCGTGTGTTAAAGACTCCCCAAATACACATTGACACGATAGACTGGAGTTGTTTGGGTTTATTGTGGCAATGATCCGGGGATAATGGCAGTGTCTTATACACTTTCATTGAGATTGGAGTGCTCGTGGTCCTAATGGCAGAACCGGAACTGCCCCAGTTAAGTTCCACCATGCTGCCCAGTGAAGGGTGTATGGGTATTTGACCTTCCGCTTCATGACAATGTGGCATTGCTAATGTTTGTTGATGTTACAACTGACACAATTGAGTTAGCATCTCCCCACTCCCCGAAATGTCATTTTTGCAATTCAACACCTGGATTAGGGGGGCCATCTATTGATGGTTTCATTTGGTTAATCATAAGTTAAAGACAGGAAACGTCATACTTAAACCGAAAGTGGTTTGGGAAGAATAATCTTGGTAGATAGATGCATATGAGACAGAGTTAATATGGTATAAATAAACTCGGTCCTGAGAAAATCTAGTTGGCTAGGCTGAAATAGACAAGAAAAGAAGGTGAGAAGAAGACGCTTTTAAAAATAATGAAAATATTATATTCAATGAGATTTGGAGAAAATTCAAACACTACGGAAGTATGAAATAAAAAAAGAATCCTCTCCTTCCTTTCTTCCTTCCTTCCTTCCTCCCTCCCTCCATCCCTCCCTTCTTTCCTTCCTTCCTTCCATGCCATTCACTATTACAAGCACTATTAATATTTTTGCATATTCTTCCAGGAAGTTAAAAAGGCATACAAATATATATAGTCATGTGTCTCTTAATGTTGGGAGTATGTTCCGAGAAATGTATTGTTAGGCGACTTAATCATTGTGTAAATATTGTAGAGTGTACTTGTACAAACTTAGACGGTGTAACCCACTACACACCTAGGTTATATGGTATAGCCTATTGCTCCTAGGTTACAAACCTGTACAGCATGGTACTGTAACAGAATACTGAAGGCAATTGGCCCGGCACAGTGGTTCACGCCTATAATCCCCGTACTTTAGGAGGCCGAGGCTGGCCTTCAAGACCAGCCTGGCCAACATGGTGAAACCCCGTTTTTACTTAAAACATAAAAATTAGCTGGGCTTGATGGCGCAGACCTGTAGTCCCAGCTACTCTGGAGGCTGTGGCAGGAGAATCACCTGAGCCTGGGAGGCGGAGGTTGCAGTAAAGAGAGATTGTGCCACTGCATTCTTGGGTGAGAAAGCAAGACTCTATCTCAAAAACAAAAACAAACAAAATAAAAACAAACAAAAAACCACTGTAGGCAATTGTGACACAATGATGAGTATTTGTGTGTTTAAACATAGAAAAGGTACAGTAAAAATACAGTATAAAAGGTTAAAAAAAAAACCACCTGTATAGGGCACTTAGCATGAATGGAGTTTGCAGGTCTAGACATCAAACATGCGGTGTTTGATTTTCTGTTCTTGTGTCAGTTTGCTGAGAATGATGGTTTCCAGATTCAACCATGTCCCTACAAAGGACACAAACTCATCATTTTTTATGGCTGCATAGTATTCCATGGTGTATATGTGCCACATTTTCCTTGTTCAGTCTATCATCGATGGGCATTTGGGTTGGTTCCAGGTCTTTGCTATTATAAACAGTGCTGCTATGAACATACGTGTGCATGTGTCTTTATAATAGAATGATATATAATCCTTTGGGTATATACCCAGTAATGGGATTGCTGGGCCAAATGGAATTTCTATTTCTAGGTCCTTGAGGAAGCGCCACACTGTCTTCCACAATGGTTGAATTAATTTACACTCCAACCAACAGTGCAAAAGTGTTCTTATTTCTTCACATCCTCTCTAGCATCTGTTGTCTCCAGAGTTTTTAATGATCGCCATTCTAAGTGGTGTGAGGTGGTGTCTCAATGTAGTTTTGATTTGCATTTATCCAATAATCACTGATGATGAGCATTTTTCATATGTTTGTTGGCCTCATGTATGTCTTCTTTCAAAAAGTGTCTGTTCATATCCTCCCACTTTTGGTTGGGTTTGTTTGTTTCTTTCTTGTAAATTTGTTTTAGTTCTTTGTAGATTCTGGATATTAGCCCTTTGTCAGATGGGTAGATTGCAAAAATTTTTTCCCATTTTGTTGGTTGCTGGTTCACTCTAATGATTGTTTCTTTTGCTGTCCAGAAGCTCTGGAGTTTAATTAGGTCCCATTTGTCTATTTTGGCTTTTGTTGCCAATACTTTGGGTGTTTTAGTCATGAAGTCCTTGCCTATGCCTATGTCCTGAATGGTTTTGCCTAGGTTTTCTTCTAGGGTTTTTATGGTGTTAGGTCTTATGTTTAAGTCTTTAATCCATCTGCTTTAATTTTAGTGTAAGGTGTCAGGAAGGGGTCCAGTTTCTGCTTTCTGCACACTGCTAGCCAGTTTTCCCAACACTATTTATTAAACAGGGAATCCTTTCCACATTGCTTGTTTTTGTCAGGTTTGTCAAAAATCAGATGGTTGTAGATGTGTGGCATTGCCTCCAAGGCCTCTGTTCTGTTCCATTGGTCTATATCTCTGTTTTGGTACCAGTACCAGTATTTTGATTACTATACCTTTGTAGTATAATTTGAAATCAGGTAGTGTGATGCCTCTGGCTTTGTTCTTTTTGCTTAGGATTGTCTTGGCTATGTGGGCTCTCTTTTGGTTCCATATGAAGTTTAAGGTGGTTTTTCCAGTTCTGGGAAGAAGGTCATTGGTAGCTTGATGGGGATAGCATTGAATGTATAAATTACTTTGGGCAGTATGGCCATTTTCACGATATTGACTCTTCCTAACCATGAGCATGGAATGTTTCTCCATTTGTTTGTGTCCTCTTTTACTTCCTTGAGCAGTGGTTTGTAGTTCTTGAAGAGGTCCTTTACATCCTTTGTTAGTTGTATTCCTAGGTATTTCATTCTCTTTGTAGCAATTGTGAATGGGAGTTAGCTCATGATTTGGCTCTCAGTCAGTTATTGGTGTATAGAAATGCTTGTGATTTCTGCACATTGATTTTGTATCCTGAGACTTTATTGAAGTTGCCTATCAGTTTAAGGAGATTTTGGGCTGAGATGATAGGGTCTTCTAAATATACAATCATGTTGTCTGCAAACAGAGACAATTTGACTTCCTCTTTTCCTAGTTGAATATCCTTTATTTCTTTTTCTTGCCTAATTGCTCCAGCTAGAACTTCCAATACTATATTGAATAGGAGTGGTGATAGAGGGCATCCTTGTCTAGTGCTGGATTTCAAAGGGAATGCTTCCAGTTTTTGCCGATATAGTATGATATTGGCTGTAGGTGTGTTGTAAATAGCTTTTATTATTTTGAGGTATGTTCCTTCGATACCTAGTTTATTGGGAGTTTTTAGCATAAAGTGCTGTTGAATTTTGTCAAAGGCCTTCTCTGCATCTATTGAGATAATCATGTGGGGTTTTGTCTTTGGTTCTCTTTATGTGGTGGATTACATTTATAGACTTGCATATGTTGAACCAGCCTTGCATCCCAGGAATGAAGCCTACTTGATCGTGATGGATAAGCTTTTTGATGTGCTATTGCAATCAGCTTGCCAGTATTTTATTGAAGATTTTTGCATCTATGTTCATCATGGATATTGGCCTGAAGTTTTCTTTTTTTGTTGAGTCTCTGCCAGGTGTTGGTATCAGAATGATGTTGGTCTCATAAAATGATTTTGGAAGGATTCCCTCTTTTTGGATTGTTTGGCATTGTTTCAGAGGGAATGATACCAGCTCCTCTTTGTATGTCTGGTAGAATTCAGCTGTGAACCCATCTAGACCTGGACTGTTTTTGGTTGGTAGGCTATTAATTGCTGCCTCAGCTTCAGCCCTCATTATTGGTCTGTTCAAGGTTTCAACTTCTTCCTGGTTTATGCTCGGGAGGGTGCAAGTGTCCAGGAATGTATCCATTTCTTCCAGGTTTACTGGTTTATGTGCATAGAGTTGTTTGTAGTAATCTCTGATTGTGGTTTGTATTTCTGTGGAGTCAGTGGTCATACCCCTTTATTGTTTTTTATTGCATCTATTTGATACTTCTCCCTTTTCCTTTTTATTAATCTGGCTAGCGGTCTGTCTATTTTGTTGACCTTTTCAAATCCAGCTCCTGGATTTATGGATTTTTTTGAAGGATTTTTTTTGTGTCTCTATCTCCTTAAATTCTGCTCTGATCTTAGTTATTTCTTGTCTTCTGCTAGCTTTTGAGTTTTTTTGATCTTGCTCCTCTAGCTCTTTCAATTTTAATGATAAGATGTCAATTTTAGATCTTTCCTCACTTCTCTGGTGGGCATTTATTGCTATAAATTTCTCTCTAGACACTGCTTTAAATGTGTCCCAGAGATTCTGGTACGTTGTGTCTTCATTCTCATTGGTTTCAAAGAACATCTTTATTTCTGCCTTCATTTCATTGTTTATCCAGTTGACATTCAGGAGCCAGTTCAGTTTCCATGAAGTTGTGGGGTTCTGGGTTAGTTTCTTAATTCTGAGTTCTAATTTGATTGCCCTGTGGTCTGAGAGACTGTTATGATTTCCATTCTTTTGCATTTACTGAGGAGCGATTTACTTTCAATTATGTGGTCACCTACCCTAAAAGAGTAGGTGCCATGT